AAAAAGAAGTAGAGTGGGTGTAGTCATCTCCATATAGATAATACAACTTTTATATCTTCATCTTTATATGCTATTTTATGTGTCTCTATGCACCTCTATTTGAGCTACTATTTGCTGTTCATAACGTATTTTCTGTTTCTCTTATGAGTTTCACATCTTTTCACAAGTATTCATTTTGCGCTTTTTTCTTTTTGTAGTAGGGTTGAATCAAGTGTTTGAGATTGATCAATTGTCAATGAATGTCTGCGATGAGCAATATTGTATTTTCTTTTGGATGTCATTTTGGTTTTGTTTCCTAACTACCTTCGTTAGATTAATGTGGTTTATGAATTTCAGATCCTATCTGTACATCACACCTTAATGGTGTACGACTCCATTTTTAATTTTAGGCATCCGTAGGTAGACTACTCTACTTTTATGTTCTAATGTTGCTTAGATTTTAGTCAAAAGTAATAGTCTAGTAACTCTAGTTCTCAATTGGTTGAATTGATCGGGTTCAGTTATTTTAGATGAATTAGTTGGGCTCGATTTTGAAACATAAATATGCTTGGCTTTTGCTTTTCATTGGTTCGACTCATAACATAGAACTAGAAACTGTAGATGACTTGCTGCTGCGTGGTAATTGAATTGTTGAATTGAGATGGTGAAACATTCCATGTATAATAGGGGTTTGATTTGATTTCTCATATTTTTTCCGGTTTGTTGAGTCAAAAAGGGCTGCGCTCCCATTTTCTTTGACAGAAACCAAAGAAGAACAAAAAAGGATGTTGATTTTGTTCACATTATTGAGTACACGTTTGTTGAAAAATTGATGTTCCTTCCCCTCTATAAATAGAGGGCATCAGGCAGAAGCAATACACCACAACGAAAAGAACAACACCAAGAAAGAAAAAAAGAGAGAGAGAAAAGGATGTGAGCAAGAAGCAAGAATTTAGCTTCTGTGTGTATTTGAGTTGTAAGTTGTGAGTGAGTTTGAGAGTGTTTGTAAACACGAGTGTATTTTCTTTTTCCCAATAAAATATCTGCAGTAGTCCGGAGACGTAGGCATTATTGGCCGAACTCCGTTATCAATTTGGCGTGTCCAATTTTTTATTTTTTTATTTCGCTTTTATAGATCCGACTTCATGGAAATTTCAGCGTATTTTTCCCAACAACTGGTATCAGAGCCAGATTGTTAATTCTGTAATTTTTTTGTGTGGGTTACTATTCCGTGAATAGTGAAAAACGTGAATAGTGTCAATTTTGTCGGTGCTACAAATTTATCTACCTACGTGTTTTGAAACGCGGTAGTTCACAAAAATTGCAGAAACGATCCGGCAGAGAAGTCAGATCAGAGTCGAAGTGATGGCTGCAGACGAAGGAAAAATGAAACTTGAAAAGTTCGATGGTGCGGACTTTGGCTTTTGGAAGATGCAGATCGTGGATTATCTGTACCAAAAGAATATGTATCAACCACTCACAGGAAAGAAGCCATAGGACATGAAGGAGGAAGAATGGAGTCTCCTTGACAGACAAGCTCTTGGATCCATTCGGCTGACGTTATCCCGTAATGTTGCTTTTAACATTGCAAAAGAAAAGACGACAACAGGCCTCATGAAGGCTCTTTCCAACATGTACAAAAAACCATCAGCCTCAAATAAAGTTCATTTGATGAGGCGATTGTTCAACCTGCGGATGACCGAAGATGCTCCGGTGGCACATCATCTCAATGAGCTCAACACTGTTACAACCCAGTTGAGTTCAGTTGAGATCGAGTTCGATGATGAAGTACGGGCTTTAATACTTTTGTCTTCCCTGCCAGAAAGCTGGAATGCTACGATCACGGCTGTGAGTAGCTCATCAGGAAACAATAAGTTGAGATTTGATGATGTCCAAAATTTGGTTCTCAGTGAAGAAATCCGGCAGAGAGAGTCGGGTGAACCATCGACCTCTTCTGTGTTGCATACAGAATCAAGAGGAAGAAGTTCAACCAAAGAAAGCAGACACAACAAATCAAAAGGAAGAAGATCCAAGTCCAGAAATCATCGTAGTTCCCAAACCTTGAAGTCGATCGAGTGCTGGAAT